AGAGTCCCCCATTGTGGGGAGATGGGCGGGGACAAGTTTACTAAATAAATAAATAAATAAACATTATCCCGCCCCTTTACACACACCACCTCCAACCTATAGTGCCAAGCGCTTGAGTTTAGTTTTAGTTTGCGCCAAGTCAACAGAAACTGGAACGACATGGAAGAGGAATTCTGCCTTGTCTGAAGCCAAGGCAGAGTCGCCAAGCCGTGATTTGGGAAGTCCTCCCTTCCGCGATTCAGCAGCCGCTTCTTTTTCCGCCAGAAGCAGAAGAAAGCTGCCGCTTCCGCGATTGATTGGTGCTTCCTGATCTGCCGAGAGAGGCAGGAATGAGGACTAGCAGCTGCCGAGGCGCGGGCGGCAGGTCGGAGTCTGTGCTCCGCCGGAGCTCGGAGGGCCAGGCGGGGGTCGCCTGAAGAGCCCGTGCCCTGTCTTCGCCCAGGTCTCGCAGATGCGGCTCGGCCGTTATGGCCCCCCGCGAACGGTGAGTGGAGGAAGGGTGCCTGTCCCGAGTTAGACCTTTGCTGGGATATCGAAGGCTTGCAAGTCAGAGGACGCCCGAAAGAAGAGGCGAGTGAATGCTGCAGGAATCCAGGTGCAGAGGCGTTGCCGCGTTTACCTGCTTCTGGCAGCGTATAAAAATGCTGTATATTTTGCCGAGAAGTCGAACTAAATTCAGTGGCATCAGCTCTAACAAATGGTTAGTGAAGTGGCAACCCGAGGAAGAGGATTTACATGCATATTCTGATCAGTGGATTAGTTACTCTTAGTTGTAAGCCCTATAGGGCTTATTTCTGAGTATGTAAGTGGATAGGACCAGACTGGGAACGATTGCTAATACTGAAGAAAAAGTGCATTCTGAGTAGCCCTTTCTCCTTATTAAGGCAGTCAGATAACAACCTGAAGGAATTTGTTGACCCGTTGTTTTCATCTCCCAACCCTTCAGGCTGCTTTTTCTTGTAAGATGAAACGATTATGTATACAAACTGTTGGTTTCGGTTTATGTGATGTGTTTCGGTTTGGTGTGATGTGTGGTTAGCCACACAACCCACACGGTGTAGTGGTTAAACTGTTGGAAGGAGCATTTAATACACTGAGTACAGCCGATGTTTAATGCAGGGGTCCAAATTAAGTTGGCTAGCCTCTGCTTGAACACATCCAGGTAAAGGAGACTCAGTGGGTAATTGATTACACTTACCAAATTGCACACTCCCTCCGTCCTATCTTTTGGTTGGAAGCTACCCTTTAAGCTGTCATAGTAAAGCCATTCTCTGTCCTGTGGTCAGGAATCAGTGAGGGCAAGTCATGGCCTTTTTTCTGTCTGGCTTCCTTTCAAGTACTGAAGAGTCTCTAGCATCCCGCTTCCCTCTTCTCAGAGCTCAACATGCACAGCTTTTTCAGTCTCTTCATAGGATTCAGGTCTTAGTCCTTTGACGGTACTTGTTTCCTGTCTCTGAACCTATTTCAGTTTTTCTGAATCTTAAAGAGTAGTGCCCAGAACTAACTAACTAACTTATTTATTAAACTCATTTATATAACCGCCCATCTACCGAAAGGAACTCTGGACAGCCTCAATTTTTTTGTCACATGACAGAGTTCTTAAGGGGCATCTGACCAAAGTAGAATAGTGGCTTGGATCAGGGAGAACCTGGTTTAATTACACATAGGGAACCTCCATAAGGATGACTTTGAGCCAACCATCACCTTTCAGTCCAAATCTCAGGAAGGAGTTATTGTACAGACAAAAGAGATCCTCTAAGTATGCCTCTATACAGAAATGGCAAGATCTTAAAGTAAAAATAGGAAAGTGGTCTGAGAAGGATGTCAGTACTTGGTGCGTGTTAGTTAAGAACTTACCTCTTTCTTTTCTCAGACTTACAAAGGCAGTTTGCGGTAATGCAGGAAAACAAAAATAATATACCAACCTTTCCCTGATTTGAGGTTCCCATCTTTTACTTTGTTTCTATTCTTGTAGTGTTGTTCTATTTTTATTTTTGTATGGGGCTGTAGATAGATAGATAGATAGATAGATAGATAGATAGATAGATAGATAGATAGATAGATAGATAGATAATGTGAGCCGCCAAGGGTCACTTTCTATTATGGCGGCATACATTTATGATTAATAAATACAGAAGAGGGGTGGTATGATAAAATAATGAAAATTATGAACTCATTTGGTTCAAGTCTTAGTCCTACTATTAATTTATTATATGGCTTATGCTAAATCTTATTATACATTTCTCCTATAATAGTTTGTGGAGTTTTTAAAATTATGTTTACACATTCTATTATAATTTTTAATTTATGTTTTATTTATATTTTATTTTACTTTAGCCTTGGACTCTTGGTCTTGTTTCTTTTGGTTTGGAGATCTGGTAAGTTATGATTACAATGTTAGGTTTATTCAACTATAAAGCAAGCTTTTAAATACTGTATGTGTTAATGGAAATGATCAGAGCTATTTTGACTTCAGGGCAAATCATACAGAGGCAAGGAATTTTTAATTAACTATTAAATTAACTTTCCCTTACTCTTAAACACTTAAATGTAAATATCAAAGTTGATATTCTCAGTTATTTTTGTCCTTAAATAAGCCTGTGAACCCCAATATACACATTAGGCAGATAATTAATAGACACATCACTCAATTTCCCTACTGAGAAAAACTATACCTGCTCAGCGTAGATGTTGTGACAATGGTAGAACTAAGACAAGGACTGAAAAGGTCTTGGATGGAATTGTATTTCCATTAGATTTAACTGAAATGACATCAGTTGAAAGATTGTCGACAGAACAGTCATGATAAGAGGAAAAGAGGCCAGCAAGGAGGCTTGCTATTAAGAATCCAGTCAGGTCCACTTTTTCTTTAAATTTACCATTGATTGGTTTATCCTCAGTTGCCCATTTATGCTTGTATTGTTTTTATTATGTATATGTTTTCTGTTGATATTTTAAACTATTAGCTGCCCAAATCTGTTGCTGCAAAACAGGTGGCCATATAAATCAAATCAAATAAATAATGAGTTTTTCAGCGTGAGCTGTAAACACTGAATTAAGCAAGAATGCATACAAATGCATTCTCACATCCAATTTCAATACAAAGTTAAATACTGTAGGAGTCCAGTGATTTCTGGAGTATAAATAAGGATTTCAGGAGTGAAGAGAAACAAACACAAAGCTGAACTTGGAATAGTGATTTTAGTTTTAATCACTTAGTGAAAATGAAAACTAGATTATATGATACAATGTATTTTTGTATACTCTCTCTCTTTATAGCTGAAACAGAAGTGATTGGCATAATAGGAAGCAGTGTTGAATTGCAGTGTGATTATCCAGAAGAAGACTCATTAAGCTACAATAGGAATCGAATATTATGGCAAATAAAAGACAAGTTCTCATGTTATGTAGCTGGCTATTTTCCTAATGAAAATATGGAAAAACACCAATGCGAAGAATTCAAACGACGGACCCTGTTAAGGAAACCAAAACGAGGCAGTACTTCTTTGCAACTGTCAAACATCAGCATAGCAGATGAATTTACATATCACTGCATAATACAGAAAGATATAAATGAAGAGTTTCAACCCATTTATCAAGAATTCATAACACTCAAAGTGGCAGGTAAGGGCTTGTTCTTCTGGGCAAATACTTATAACTAGGGATCTTGTAAATTTGATTGGGAGCGAGAGATCCAGCCCACGGCCTGTCCATTGTGGGGTGCCACAGGGTTTGGTACTCTCTCCACTCTTTTTTAACATCTACATGAAACCATTGGGTGAGATCATCTGCCATCATGGGCTGAGGTATCATCAATATGCAGATGATACCCAGTTATACATCTCCATCCCGGGTGACTTGAGTGATGCCGTGGCCACCTTTTCGTGGTGCCTGGAGGCTGTGGGGGTCTGGATGGGGAACAACAGGCTTCAGCTGAACCCTGGTAAAATGGAGTGGTTGTGGATTGAAGGCCCCTCTGTATCTGAGAACTTACCATCTTTGTTTTTGGATGGGGTCGCGCTGCCCCAAACAGACCCAGTGCATCCTCTGGGGGTCGTCCTGGACTCGCGACTACTGCTCGAAGAGCAGTGGCAGTTATGGCCAGGAGGGCCTTTGCCCACCTTTGGGTAGTGCACCAGTTACGCTCCTCCTTGGATCAGGAGGCTCTCCGGTCAGTCACTCATGCCCTGGTCATCTCTCAGTTAGACTATTGCAATGTGCTCTACAAGGGGCTACCCTTGAAGAGTATTTGGAAGCTATAGCTGGTTCAAAATGCAGCCATGTGGATGATATTAGGTACCCCTAGGATGGCACGTGTAACACCTTTGCTGTGGGAGCTGCATTGGGTGTCAGTTTGCTTCCAGGCCCAATTCAAGGTGTTGGTTATCATCTTTAAAGGCATGGGTCCAGGTTACCTGAGGGACTGTCTCATCCTCATTACATCAACCCATCCCACCCGGTCAAGCAGAGAGGGCATCAAATTTGTCACCGCCCATCTCATGACACGACTCTGGGCAGTTTACAAGATAAAAACTCATTAAAATACAACATAAAAACAATCCTAAAAATGAATAAATTCCAAGAAGATAGAAAATTGGCAAGCATTCTCCCCCCAGAGGTGTGGTGGACCCCTACCCTCCAGGCTTTCCAAAAAGTTTTAAAGACCTGGCTCTGTCAGTGTGCATGGGGTGATATGGGCTCTACCCGCCCCTGGGGGGGTTAGCTTCCTGATGATGTCCCCTAGAATTACTTGCCAATTTTCTATCTTCTTGGAATTTATTCATTTTTAGGATTGTTTTTATGTTGTATTTTAATGAATTTTTATCTTGTAAACTGCCCAGAGTCGTGTCATGAGATGGGTGGGGACAAATTTGATGAATAAATAAATAATAAAATCATTATTTGTGCCCAGGTGAGCTCCATGAAAAGAATCACATAGACAGTGGGAAGTTTCTCAGGCACATTTGTAGGTTTAGATCTAGTGAAGATTTAAGAGGGGCAGATCTGTTAAGCAGAGAAGGTTGTTGGTTGTTTTTATCATTGCTGTGTGGACTGAAGGTGCCAGATGAACCAAACAGTGAAGACTGAAGCTGCTGGAGGAAAGTAGGCTCAAAGCTGGAGAGACGATTCTTGGAAGAAAGAGGAATGTGAGATGGAAAACCCAGGAGAATCCAGAAGGAAGGTTTACAGAACAGATCGATCGGTGAAATGATTTATGCAGAGTTGAAAAGGAGAAATCAGGAGTTAGTATGGAGAAGAGTGAATAAGGTGCTGGTTTTCCAAGAAGCTCACTGAAGAGTTATTTTTCTGTCTTTCCCTCCTTGCCTCTAGTGTAGAAAAGGCTATGAGTAAGCAGAAAAGGAAAGGAAAGCAAAACTGCCTAAAGAAATAAAACAAAGCAGAGATTAAGTTAATTCCTGTGTGAATAAAGGAGAGAGATATTGAAACCATTGATGAACATTAAGTTCTGTATATAAATGTATAATGGTTTGTTAAGCAAAGGCCACTGTTTAGAAGGAATAAGGATAAAATATTTATGTTAATAGCACTATAACATTAAACAACACTTTAGCATGAAAAAGAGCACCGCTGTGTGTGGGTTAAGTTCCCGTCCCTTTTTCACTTTCCATAACTTTTGGCAAAACTTTAATACTAGTGAATAACATGAAGGAAAAATGTTCAAAAGTGTATGATTTGAGTTACACAAAACTCTTAATGCTAACTGAGAAGGTAGCCATGAAAGCAATTCACTTCCTCACCACATAATTTCCTCCCTCCTGGTGACTGTATGGCGGGCAGACACTTGTGCTCGTGGAGAAATACAACTCTCTGTAGCAGATGGTTCAGTCTTGACAAAGTCTATTTCCATGAGTATATCCCTTGCTGAATCATATGAACCCCTTTGCAGTCGGATGGTTTGAGGACAACATGACTAGCAATGAAGCCTGGAAAGGCAATCTCAGGTATCCACTTTATAAACTGGCTGTATGGTGCCTACTGCCTTTCATTGCAATTTAAATGGAATTCTTGGGTATCGTATACTTAATTCCTTTTTCCTCCAAACTCACTGGGGGGAAAACGGACAGGGTAGACATTGAAAGTATGGGGATGCCTCTTTTAATTTTGTACTCTATGTTGTACAGTTATGCTAGATGTGCCATTTTGAATTACAGGTAGTTCTCGCTTAATGACCATTTGTTTAACTATGGTTTAAAGTTACAATGGCCTTGGGAAAAGTGCTTTATGACCTGTACTCACACAACTGTTGCAAACTGTTGTACCACCCCCTGCAGTCATGCGATTGCAATTTGCAACCTTTTTATGACAGTCATTAAGCAAATCACCATGATTGTTAAGCGAATCATGTGGTCATTAAGTGAATTCTGGCAAAATTGTCCATTGGAGAAGCTGGATTCACTTAACGACCACAGTGATTCGCTTAACAACCATGGTAAAAATGGTCATAAAATTAGGTCTGGTCACGTGGTGACTTGCTTAATGACTGTTCTGCTTAACCAATTTTACAGTCCCTATTGTGGTTGAGTCCCTTGGACTGCTAGGAGGTCCAACCAGTCAGTCCTAAAGGAAATCAACCCTGACTGAACATTGGAAGGATTGATAATGAAGCTCAAGCTCAGATACTTTGGTCATGAGTCGGACACGACTTAACGACTGAACAACAACAAAAAAAATTGTGGTCATTAAGTGAGGACTACCTGTATGCACTGGAAATGGATGTGAGATACCAAATTCAACCCTGTGCTATTAGGTACTTTTGACCACAGACAAAGAAGTAGAGGGGTTAATCTGGTGCACTTGGTGCAGGGGGGGCTTATAGGTCAGTGGTGGGTCAGATTCTAGGTTCAGTTCCTGACACCTTCAGTTACTTTCTTGTAAGGTGCCAGAAAAGACCTCATTCCCACCAAGATTTTGGCAGTATAAACTACAGATGGAGTACATAAATTGTTATATTATCCAGTTCTAAAATGCTTCTTCTCCAGCCTTTTGTATCATACCATCTCTTCTCCAAAGTGGCAGATAAAACTGTGGGGAAACCTGGTTGTAAAATTGTGCTGCTCTTCTTTCTCTTTTTCCAGCAAATTACAGCAAACCAGTTATAACAGGTCCTTTGCAGTCTGGAGAAGAAATGACATTTATGTGCAATTCAAGCCACGGCTATCCAGAACAAAGGCTTTATTGGGTAAATGAAATGGACAACAGCACCATGAATACAACTGTGCAGTTCACCAAAGAGCTTGATGGGTCTTTCAGTGTATTCAGTACATTGAAGATGAAAGCAGCTTCTTATATAAAGTTAAGGTGTACGATTGAACATAAGCAGCTGTATCAAAATATTACTACCACAAGTAAGTTGATCTTTATAATTTATCTGTCTTACCTGTTGTCAGTTTGTAGGTTGATATTCGTAAGGAAGAATAGATGTGTCAACATACATATGTGTATATTAAGCAAAATAGGAAAGCAAGCTGAATCTGGCTTCTGAAAGTCTTTCCAACCCCTTAATAATGGCTCTGATCCAGATTATGTGACTTGGAAGGAGGAAGAGAGCTCAGAGTAGGAGAAGGCTACAATTCCAAGCTGCTGCCCAGCTGTCCCTGTCTCTCTCTTGGGGACGCATTGAGGATTTTTTCTGGAACGTTCTCCATAGTTTGGCATGATTCAGCCCATTTTTAACATGATTGTTCTTTTAACAGCTTTTCCTCCTGACACCAAATTTTATTCTGTTCTGTTCAGTTTGTGGAGAGTTATCCTGCTGCAGATAGACAAGAATTCCAAGTCTGTTGACATAATTTCTTCTCAATATTCTGTTGGGTTGGAATGAATAAAAAGACAATTTGATTAATATTCTGTAACTAGGTGGCTTAGTTAATTCAGAAGATGAAACTTGCCTGCTGGCAAACTGTAGCCTCATGGTTTTGCTTCCTGTTCAGAATGCCAGGGTACTTTGGCAGCTGTGCTGGAAATATTGATTCTGGCTGAATTCTCTTTCCTCTTGCATTATCTAAGTTACAGGAGCTGCCTCCAGGTCTATTCCAGGCAATTCTATACTTCCATTTCTCTCCCAAGTCAATCCTTGCCTGCACACTTACTTCCTGTAAGTAGGGCACTGCCTGTCTTGTCCCTTGTGATTTTCTTGCAATAGGAGGCTTCCAGGTTGAGGTTTTTCTCAAGTAATTTTCCCACCTGATCCATGGAATTTTATGAGGCATCCAGAGGATACTGTCTTCCATTTCTAGCTGTTACTGTATGATTTCTCACCAAGACTTTGTTCTTTTGAGTGGTAAAACCAGGAGTCCTCCATCTGGAAGCATCCAGACTCCTTTATCCCTCCTTCTTTTCCCACCATATCTCCATCACTTTTCTTACTGCCATCTGATTCTTCAACATTTCTAGCACTTCAGTTTCTCTTTTCTGTTTAGTTGGGAAAAGTTGGTTTCTGGATATATTCTGTCCAAGCAGCAACAGCAGTAACACACCGTCTATTTTCCTATTGTACTGACTTTGTTTAAACTAGAAACTTCAGTAGAAGATTAGGATTGGAGAGATGACAGATGATGTGGGAGAGGGACAATCAGTTATTAAGTGCCATAAGCAAAACAGGGAATAAGTAGGCAGGAGAGAATCTTAATATTGCTGTCTTCCCAATAACATCTCTTACATCCACCACATGATTCAGACATTTATATTTGCTTTGAAGAGGAGGTGTACACTGTGTAGGGTTGGATTCCTAAATTTGCTGGGCTAACAAAAAAATTTGGGATTTAAGGACATGTCATGGGTGCTTTCAGAAAATAGCTGCCATGAACTGCATGGCCTGTCACACAAAAAAAGGTACTAGAAGGTAAATTGGTGAATTTACTTCTTGCCTTTTCTTCTGAATGCTAAAGATGCTAGGCAGCTGGACACACCAGGCTGCAGCCACCATCATTTTTATGTTCAAAAAAATGCCCTTGAGGTTATGTGAGACCTAGAAAGCTAGTGCTTTCCTTTGCAAAGTGGTAATGACCTTTTTAAAGATTTTTTTTAACTCATTATTTTAATCATAATGATATGCCCAGCAGGCATCAAGGGAAATATTGCCAGCCATGTTGGGCACTCAGGATTTATCAGCCCTGTTATTTGGTGAATTACTTTAAAATTTGCTGTTTGGAATTTTCCAAAACAGTTTCTGATCTGATTCCCATGCTGGGAAAGTAAGAATTCTGCTGGGGTGTATGATTTACTAGTTTAGATATGCATAGAAAACTTTTGAATGATTCTTAATTTAATGTTGCCACATTTAAAAACTGTACAGTGTGTGTTAACTGTAAATCAATTCTGTTCCAAGGATTTTTCCTTTTCTCCCTATGTTCCTTATTATTCTTGTTTAGTTGACTTTAAGAATTCAACGAACAGCCCTAGAATTGATAACAAACAACATAATACAGCTGCATTCTTCAGCGTTGCTGTTGTCGCAATTTGCATAATTTTAATTATCATCTGGAGAATAGGGAAGCATTATCTTCAAACAACATATACTGGTAAGTAAACAGTACATAAAGTTTAGCAGGATTATGGTTAGGGTGGATAGTCCTAGCCAGTCGTGCAACTTTCCATTTGTTTTGCCACTGAATTGGCATGTGAGGGCTTGCAAAAGTGAAAACAGTTGCCTGTTTAGATGTCCATGCAAATAGCAGACTCTAGGAAAAAGGATTAAGTCAGAGGTAGTACCACCATGGGGGGGGGGTGGAGGCAAGGGGGTTGGGAGTGAGACTGATAAAAGAAATGACATGGCATTGCAATACAAGCCCTGCCCCTTTTTGACATGTATTGTGACATGCCTCAAAGGGGCAAAGCTTGCAACGTGCTACCTCAATACTACTTTAGTCAGTATATTGAAAGCAAGGACTGTAGATGCCACTGATCAGAGGGGTAAAAAGATCATACATGGCATTTGCTTTTCTTCAGGTCTTCCAAATCATAAATACTCAATGTAAAGAGCAATTTCAGAATCTGATTCCTCAGCAGGAAGTTTACCTCAACCTTAATCTCAGTCTGCTTTCATCTCAGCTTGAAGTGCAGATTGGATACGAAGACAATTTTTTAAAAATTATTGTTACAATAGGAAGTAAAAAGCTTTACTTATCTAAACTATAATCAAAGTGTATTTCCTAAGTGGTTAATAGGAAGGACACAGGAATAACTGCATGATGAATACTTACTGACCAGGAAGTGATCCAACCACAGTAAGTGGTCACAGGAAGTGATATGACCACACTCATTGTCAGGCCCAGCCCAAGAACAACAACGAGACAGTCCAGTTCAATATAGTTCCTTTGTTAGCTCACTCCTAATAGACAGAATCTCGCCAGACCAAACCTATGCTAAAGCAACTAGTGGATATACCCCGCAAGACTTTAGGGAGGAGCTGTCCTAATCATCTTTGTCTTCCCACGTTCCTGCTGTGTACTGAGAAAGCGCTTGCTCTGGAACGCGCCCCCCCCCCCGATAACCTTGATCCTCCATTTCAGTATCTTCCTCACTCATGTCACCCATTACATCACCCGCCCTCCCAAAGCCAGACTCCCCCTCTGAGTTCCCATGGGAGCTGGGCAGTGGAGGCAATGATGAAAGCGCAGGTGTGGTGCTTCTCTCCAAGTTCCCTGGCACCTCCTCCAGCTCAGGCGGTTGGTTCTGCAAAACAGCTACAGAGTTAGTAGAACCAGCCCCGCTCCCCCCTGGGAAATGCAAACCAGAAGTTGAAGGCTGAGGATTTCCTGCGCCAGCCCTCTCCTGCCCCAGGGCCCCCACCAAACCTTCCATGAGTTCATCCTCGACCTCCTCTGCCTGCTCTCAATTATCCAGAGACTTGGGTAGCTTGTGAGGTCTCTGTTTGCTAGGGAAATGGCGATGAAAATCACGGACCAACACTGGGGCAGGCACATTCTTTGCATTCTCCCAGGACCGCTCTTCCTCTGGCTGACCCTTCCAATGAATCAGATACTGAATCCCCTTTCCCCTCCTTTGTGAGTCCAAAATTGCTTCCACCTCGTACTCCTCTTTCCCTTTGACTATGACCGGTGGAGGTGGGGGATCCTGGGATCTCAAGGCACTCAGGGGAATTTCCTTGACTAGCAAGGAATGGTGAAAGACAGGATGGATCTTCATAGAAGCTGGCAGTTGCAAACGGAAAGCCACCAGGTTTACTTGCTGAATGGCATTAAAAGGTCCCACAGACTTAGAGTTTAACTTTTTAGATGGCTGATGGAAGTTAAGAACCTAGTAGAAAGCCACACCTTGTCTCCTACTGAAACCTCTGGACCCCTCTGCCTGTGTGCATCCGCTGCTTTCTTGTACAAAGCTCCCGAGCTGGTTGCTGCTCTCCGAGAAACTGAGCCGCGCTTGGTACAGTTCCCTGCTGAATGGCTGTTGGCAAAACTTGTGGGCTTATGCTGCACAGTGCTTGAAACGATGACATTCCAATCGATGAGTGTACTGAATTATTATATGAGAATTCTGCTAAGGAGAGGAGTGCAGTCCAGTTGTCTTGGCTGTATGTGCTGTAGCACCTTAAATACTGCTGCAACACCTGGTTAGTCCTCTCCTCCTCTCCATTGGTAGAAGGGTGGTGTGTGGAAGACAGGTGAATGTGGACCTCCAGTAACTGGAAAAGGGCCCTCCAGAACTTAGAAGAGAACTGGCTCCCTCTGTCTGTTATAACCTGGTTAACCATACCTCTGTACCTGAAGATGTGGTCTAAGAAGAGCTGTGCCGTGGCCTGCGCTGTAGACAGTCCTGTAGACAGACAGAGCCCCATGGAGTGTTTTAAAAACTCCGCTGTGGCCGGCTGTCTCATTATCATGGCAAAGCTGCAACACTTTCTCCTGTAAGGGTAGGGCAACATACAGCCAACTCTTATGCCGAAGTTGCCCCCTTCCACTGAAAACGGGGAAACAGCACCTTGCTGGGTCCCCTACAGGTCATCCATTCGGGCCTTCACTGGTCTGTCATCTGCTATGCCTTTATCCGTGCAAAGAGGTCCTCTGCCTGCCGACCCACCCCCAACCTCTCAGTTGCGCAATCCTCACCCTGGTCTCTAAAGTTGTGTGGTTGCAAGATTGCGGCACGAGTGGGTGGCTGTTGCATCACTAAATACTCTAGCTTACGGGAAAGCACGTCTGGTAGCAGGTTTCAGGACCCAGGGACATATGTTATATAAAAGTCAAAATGGGAGAAAAATTGGCTCCACCATACCTGCCAGGGGGTGAGTGACTGCATATTCTGCATTAGCTCCAAGTTCTTATGGTCCGTGCAAACCTGCACGGGAAATTTTGCCCCCTCCAGCCATTGCCTCCATACCTGGAAGGCTGCCTTGATTGCTAGCAACTCCTTGTTAAAAATATCATAGATTCTCTCTGCGGGTGATAGCGTTTGTGAGAAAAGGGCACACGGAAGCAATCTCCTCCCACCTCCCTCCTCGGCTTGTAAAAGCTCAGCTCCAATTGCAACATCGGAAGCATCCATGCGCAGGACAAACCACCACGAGGGATCGGGGTGGGTGAGAAGAGGCTGCGAGGTAAAAAGCTGTTTTAACTCCTGAAATGCTGACTGCTCCTTCTCTGTCCAAGCAAATCTCTTCCTTTTCTTTAAAAGCTATGTGAGAGGCTTGACCCTTTCAGCAAAATTCAGAATGAACTTTCTGTAAAAGTTAGGAAACCTCAGGAAACACTGCACATCTTTCACATTACAGGACGCCTGCCACAACAACACTGCTTGCACCTTGGCTGGGCCCATCTGTAGCCCCTGTGTTGAAATTCTGAACCCCAGATAGTCCAATTGACATAAATGCACACTTTTCCAACTTGGCAAAAAGCTTATTGTCTCTCAGTCTCTGCAACACATTTCTGATGTGCGTAGTATGCAATTCTGCATCTTCAAAGTATATTAAAATGTCATCCAGATAAATTACTACATATGAATCAATTACATCAGAAAAAATCTGGAAAACACCACCCCACAATTAGCAAGTCCGAACAGCATTACTGTGTACTCAAACTTCCCATACCTTGTATCAAAAGCAGTCAGGTATTCATGCCCCTCCTTAACTTGAATGAGGTTGTAGGTATTCCTAAGGTCTAACTTAGTAAAGATGCGTGGCTTTTGCAACCAATCCAAAAGATCGGATATCAATGGCAGTGGATAATGATCCCTAATCGTGACCTTATTTAACTTCTTGTAATCATGGACAGTGCACATTGGTGTTCCTTCACTAGACCCTTTCCCCGAAGTCTGCGAGTCTGGCTTCTTTGGGGTAAAAAACATGGGAACAGAAGCCGGTGACTTGGACAGTCTGATAAATCCTTTCTTTAGGTTTTCATCCAGATACTCTTTGAGAATAGTTAACTCTTTTGCAGAGATAGGATATTGCCGCTTGGCCAGGATCTTTGCCTCTGGTTTCAAATCAATCGTGCAATCACAGTCTCTATGGGGGGGGGGAGGATAGTGCGGTAACCTCTTCCTCCCCAAAACGTCTGCGAAATCAGCATTCTTGGCGGGTAGGCCCCCTCCCTCCATCTGGATGTTTCCCTTGCGAATGGAGAGAATGGCTACCTGTGCCTTGTGGTACTGGCAGTCAGGAGAGGAGAGTGAGAGCGTTCCTGTACTCTAGTCTATAGTTGGCTTGTGAAGTCTAAGCCATGAGGTGCCTAACACTACGGGAACCTGTAAGGATGCCATTACATAAAGGGTCAAAAACTCTGTATGACCCGTTGATAGTTAATTCGAGCGGGGCCATAGACCGCACAGCGGGACCCACCTTCAATGGCTGGGCATCTATAGTTTCTATTTCCATGGGGTTCTTTAAGTCTACTGTTGGCAATTGCCACTTCTGCACTGCCTGAATATCTATGAAGTTTGTGGTAGCCCCTGAGTCAATAAGAGCTTCTAGCTCTATCTCGCACCCAGAATCTAGGGTTAATGTAATAGGGGTAAGAAAAAAGTCTTGCCTGCTGTTTCCAGAATGAGCTCTCCTTATCTGCTTGATGGCCCCTCTTGCGAGCTCTGTAGAGAGAGGCCTGCAAAGTTTCCCTGGTGTGCTGTGGCTGCTGAAGCTGTGCGTTTCACTGATGTCTGCTTCTGCTGTTTGGCCCGTGCTGACACGTTCCTTTCTGGGCATGCCCTTACTATATGCCCCGGGGCTCCACAGTAAAAACAGAGGTTAGATCCCTCCTCTTCTGTCTCACCTCCATGGAGACTCACCTCCTGATGGCTCCAATTTGCATCGGCTCTTCCCCCTCGGATCTGAGGCTGCTATAGAAGGGATAGGGAGAGCTGCTAGAGGAGGCTGGTAGGCACTCTGGCTCCTGCCAGCTTGATATTGCTTTAAGTCTTCCAGCCTAGCATCAAGTATCACGCAACGCTGATAAAGATCATCCAGAGTATTTGGGGTTCCTTGCTTCATCAGCTTATCCCAAAGTTTGGCATCCAGTCCCTCTCGAAATTGGTCAGTGAGGGCCACCTCATTCCACTCGATATTTCCTGCCAACAGCTTAAAATCCTCAATGTATAATCTTACTCTCCTGTTGCCCTGCTTGAGTTTTCAAATGACCTGACTGGCTGTGATTCTCCGAAGGTAGGATCTCCGAAATGCCCTCTAAAGGCCCCGACAAAATTCTGATAGTTATTGAGCACCAGGTCATTGGCTTCTATCAAAGGGGTAGCCCACTTTGCTGACAGTCCCTTCAGTAAGCTTAACACAAAGGATACCTTTGCGCGATTTGTAGGAAACTCTGCTGCCCAGTTGGCCATGAACAACTCGCACTGTTCCAGGAAGGTTCTCAACTGGTCTGCTTCCCCTCCATATTTTTCTGGCATGCTCCCATGAGAACACAAAAGAACTGGTGCTCCGGCTGCAGCTTGCTGGGCGGTCTGCCCGAGCTGCTGTGCTAGCTGCACCTTTGTGGTTGATCTGCGTGCCCACTTGCTCTTGATGCTCATGCCATCCATTACACGCATAGTAATGTTCTCCAATTTCAAACCATGTACCATTTGCTCTGAGAAAAAACACTAGGTGATGACTGTCAGCATGGTTGGAGATGAGATAACCTGGAACAGGCTATGGAGGCCTTGAAATCTAGACTACACTGGCCTCCATCCCCAGAGCATGGAAGTTGAAATCCCCAATGATATTAGTCCCAATGGGGCAAGGAGGGCTCCGCTGCCAACCTGGCAATCAGATCCAAAATGGACAGTACGCCATCAGCAAGTCTAGCTTCTCCATACAATCCCGACTCATATAAAAGCATATCTTCCTAGCCCTGGTGTCTCACTCCCTCTATATCATGTATAGATGAGATCTTGTTTTGGAGAAGCCTCTCTTTAGCCAGCAGTAGCCTAAGGCTGTGGCTCCCAGCAATCCAGCCTCTGGGGAGAGCTTGCCCAGTGGGAATCTACATAAATTTGCTTGTTCCTTCTATTCCCCTCTGCAGCAATTAACTTTAATAACAACAAAAATCTCCCCCGCCTACAGCACTGGATTTCCCCATTTTTCCTGAACCTTCTCTCCCAGGTTCACCCTGGGACTCTGGTTAACTCCCCTGCCTCTGTTCTGTTACTCTAGTGGAAGGTCCACCCACCACACTCCCTGCTTCTCCCTTGTGGGTTATTTCCACCACCAACACTCAAGCACATTCCAACCACTACTTCTACCGCAAGAACTCACAGCCTCATTGCCCCCACTTCCAGCTGATGGAAGCACAGCTTCACTTGATCAGATCATTTCTAAATGCCAAAGTATAACACCTTCCCACTCCTATGCTGACTTGACTGCTTTTCCTCCTTGATCCTGTGCTTCAACTGACTTTTTTTTCCGGCCCACTCCTCTGAAATAGCAGCACCACTTTGATCACTGTCAGCCAGCTGCTGTGGGTCCAAAGGTATATGCATGTGTTGCTACCTTCCCACAACCTGCACACTTTCTCCATGAGGAACCTCATAACAAGACTAAGCATAATTGTTATTGGAATCGCTACCAGATGATTTTCTTCTCTTTGCTTTCCTTCTGAAGTGTTTTTCACATTTGCAATTCTTCCTTCCTTCTTTCCTTCCACAATTCTACCCCCACTGCCAAACCACTGATCCAGTTGTAGCCACTTTCTTGCATCTGTTAATACTTCATGATCCATCTCAACCCCCTCTTCTAATACTCTCATTTTATTTAATACTACGCACATCATACCACAACTATTGCATACCACAACAAAAACTAGCTAAAATTTGAGCTCCATCTTCATGGTGAGTCCTGAGAGTTATTGCCAGCATGATAGCTATAGAAAGCAAGCTGGAGTCTTTAAAAATGGAAGTATATTTTGATCCAATTAAAGAATAAATGTGCAACTCCTTGCCAAATGGGCAGCATGGGGCCTTTTAGAAGCTTCATTGTGGCCCAACATATACATCCTCAATTCCCTGCTATTCTCAGCCGCAACTGGGTTTTGGAAAAGCTGTCTTTCTGAAAAGACCAATGATTGTAAAGACTTTTCAGTCCATAAACCAGAGCATCCAACATTCTGTGTTGACATTTGGGAACATTACAGTCTTCCCTTTGCAGCTATATTCAGGGGATTGAGTTGCTTTAACTTCCTTCCACAGAAGACCTCTATACTAAGGTCATGGGATGGATGAAAGACGGTTTAAGTATGTTGATGCTAGTGTGCCATTTCTGAGGCTGAAAAGCTTGCACACTCCACTAAGTGAATATTGACATTAAGCAGGTCTCTTTTTTCCCATATATAATAGATCTTTTATTTTACTTTTGAAGCTCCTGTTGAAGTGATAAATTTCCAGAGGCCATAAGTTCCTGGGAGGAAATCAGCTGACACTGCAACACGACCTTGAAGAATTCCCTCAGATATTGGACACAGTATGTCTTAACTGTTGTGGAACTAAATACTGAACTGTCGGTAACAAAGTTCTGCTAACGAAATCCAGTTATACAAGTGACTGAAATCAACTTTCAGCTGCCTCTGCTATGGGTTGGGAATGAGACAAAGGCAACCTCATGAAGACATGACAGTCTTGGATCTCTGTACTTTATGGTGTATGTAAGCCTTTAGAGTTAGTATTCATGGAGGATAAGGCAATCAGTGGCTGCCAGTCATAATGGGTATATACTGTGTCCAGGATTGGAGGCAGTATGCTCTCAGGACCAGTAGCTATAATACGGTAATGGAAAGAGGCTTATTCCTTACTTGTGGGTTTCCAACTGCTATCATTGTCTCTGTCAAAAAAAAAAATGGTAAACTGGATAAGCTTCTGTCTGATCCAGCACAACTCCTGCTGTTTTCTGGTCTGTGTTTTGCCACAGTGAAGAGTTAGCAGTAGGTTCATAGATATGAAGGCAGAAAACACAGAGGTTATATAGAGGTTGAAAGCACTTACTGACCAAAGCAAAGCAGAAATGTTTTAACTGAATGGTATAATACAGACAGGAAATAGACATGGAGAAGCCAAAAAAGAAAAGACACGTCCCCCCTCCCACATTCTTCCCCAGTAGAGGAATGAAAATACTGAACAGAATCTCATGTTCCTCTTGCTAGCAAGCTCCTCATTCTTGTCATAGGCACAGACAACATTCCCCAGATTCATCAACTAATGTGCACCATCCTGTCAAAGAATCAATTCCACAATCAGTCTTATCCATAGAGGAGAGAAGTACTCTAAGACTTTATTGAAATTATTAATACTACTGTACTGAAACATCACTTTGTTTATATTGATGTAATATGGATGTGCCATGGTTAAAGGGTAAAGTTAAGGGTAAAGAAGCTAAATTCCAGTTAGTAATTTGATGTTGCATTATGATGGAGTGGGAGAGGCTAAATAGTTGATTATCAAGCAACTTTTTATATGGACGAGATTCCAATCAATGGACATCTCACTGTTATCCTAACCCTGGAAGGTCAGGAGGAGTTAGATATTCTCCCTTCTCTGGATATTTCAATGATCAAAATTTTATTACATTTTCCAAGTGTAATAATCAATTTTGTTTTCTCTGTAGATTAAATTATCAAGTTTTTAAAATGTAAATGTTATTTAACAGGGCAAGATCCTTTCACGTTTGTAAAAAAAAAAAAATCCCTCTATAACATTTGAAACTCACAGGAGTCTTAATTAGGCAAAAGTCTTCTGGGTGTCTCTGTGACTCTGTATGAATTGGCACAAACGCCTTACTCTTGAGAATAATTTGCAAGACCCATGTCCATCAGGGAATCTCAACCTGCTACAGAAACGATCCCACAGTGAAATAATCACAATGTGATCATGAGGAAGAAACTAAGGGGGAAGAAAGGGGAATTCAGGGGAAAAGTGAAACCAATGTTACTGTTGCTAAATATAAACCATAGCAGAAAAACAATTTCTCCTTGAGAAGGGTCATACAATATTGTATGTAAATAGAAAAGGGAAATCTGCAAATATATTTAGCATTTTAATGATGCAAGTTCCCAAGAATTATCTATTATTACAATACACATTTAACAAAAAAGTTGTGAAAATTCCATGCAGCTTTGGAAGTACAGAATGCAAGTATTGCTGTTATAATTATTTTTCCATTCAAATTTAAAGCACCATAAGCATATTGCTAGATTGTTCCTGTAGGGATGGAAAAGACAGCATTTTCTAACCATTTGTTTATAAAGCCATAGCAAATGCATCAGGTTTTAAGGGTACAAATATTCAGAATAAGGCATACTCAGAAATGCTACCCTTGGTGACATGAGCAAGTATGAATGATATTAGACTGTTAAATGTCATTTTAGACTTGTATATTTACCACAGACCCGTAACAAACAACTTAGAAATGAAAGATTTGGAGGAATTCTTTAATTCTATTTAACAGTCTCCCCATATCTGAGCCTTTTCTGTTAGTGTGGAATGTAGGAGTTGAGAAGAAATATATAGAATTTACCAGTATAACTTGATCTTGTAACGGCTTCCCATTTATTCATGCTTCCCAGATTGGCAGGATTGCAGCTCTTGAATCCCTTGATTAAACAGCGTATTCTGTTGGGAGCTAGAAAATGTTTCTTCCACGTTGTAGTGCCTGTCCTCTGGAATAGTATCCCTTTCAGATCTGTATGGCTTCTACTCTGTTGATATTCTGAAAGTCCTTGAAAATTTATCTGTCCTCCTAGCCTTTGGGGTAGGATGATTGTTGAGCCCTTATAGGTTATGTTTTGTTGCTATGTATGGTTTTCTCTTTTGGGCATGCGTGATCTATTTCTCAATTGTTATTGTTTTGTGCTTTTAAAGTGTAAGCCACCTAGAGTCATTTGGAGTCAAGTGGTCTCTCAATTAAATTGTGTGTGTGCATGTGTGTGTGTGTGTGTGTGTGTGAAAAATTCCCCTCTCACCCCTGTGGGTGGTATGTGTCTTCCTCAGTCTTGGGTCCTCTACCAGGGGCCTGGGAGTTTGAAGGTTCTGTGCAGTATCTTAGCCATTCCTAGCACTGCAC